AGTCTCTGGATGTCTCACATTAAAAAGTACAAAAAAGAGTGGTATGTTTACCTTTGTCTTGTTCCTTTTGTTGCTTTTCCACCTGCGCAGTTGGAGTCCTGCCTGTGAGAGAAAAACTGAGTACCATCTGTAACGTTTTATTCAGATTTTATTTGTCTCTGTCTTATAGTTCACAGGATAATTTCTGTACGGTTTTCATTTAGTTAACTTAATTGAAAGCCACATAATGAAGTCAAATAAGTTAAAGTTATCGTTTTGTTGTTAATATCAAATGAGAAGAACAAACTTCTTACCTCACCCCTGGAGAATCCAGTTCTGCCTGTTAGCTGCGTTTTCTTTAGATTAAAGTAAGATTGTTTTCAGTGGAGCTAGTTGGTAACAGGAAGTCCTTGTTAAACTGCCTAGATGTACTTGGCACAGGCTCTGTAGTTCCAGTCCTATATTACATATAAAGTACATTACTCACAAAAGAGGGGGTTCGTAATTAAGCAAAGATTACTTTGTTTTCCTTAGGTATGAAAACTTGCTAAGTGTATGGAATTTGGAATAAATAGGAATGGAAAGAACCTTGGGTAAAGGCTTTTTGTTCAGTTTATTTAAAATGATTTAATTCCATCTTATTTTAGGGAATTCCAAGAACTTAACTCAGAAAATTACCAAATTTCAGAACTACAACAGCCAGAAAAGAGTTCATGTCTTTAAACCTGCCACCTTACCTTTCTTTTTAGTATGCCTGCTATTTTTAAGTTTCTTTCATAGTTTTCCATATCAAAAACTAAAATTGTACAGCACTATATGTTATGCTATTTATTATATCAATATAACAATTCAAAATTAATTTTTACCAGAGTGAAATATTTGTAGGAAAAATCAGAAATAAAATTTCTCTCACACAACTAAATTTTCTTACATTCCCTTTTTCTCTGCCTGAGTTGTTATGATTTGAGGGTGAGAGGAGGGACATTGCTATAATATCTATCAAAATAACATCTGTATTTATTCTTTGGTTTAGTAGTCCTACTTCCTGGAGTCTGTTCCCAAAATAAGAAATAACATCTTCACACACTTTATTCCTCACAGCCCTCTTTGTAAAATCAAGACATTGGGAACAACCCATGATGAAACATCTATATAATGAACATTTTGTTCATTAATAAAGAGTATAGTAATAAATAAGATTTCTTTATACTACTTCAGAGTAATTTTAGGATTTACTGTTTTTAAAAAAAGCATGGTGATGCACAAAAGTGCATCTAACTTTCGAGGAAGAACAGGAGGGTAGAGATACACGCACATAAACACCCCGTAGCCAGCCAATAGCAGTGCATATCCATAGTGCCCAAATTGTGGTCTTTAAAATACCATTTCCCCCATGTACATGTTTATATTATTAAAAAAAAAAAAAATCAGTGGGAGGATGAATTAAAAACTAATGAAACCGCTTATACTGTTGGTGGATGTGAATTGGTACAGCCACTATGGAGAACAGTATGGAGGTTCCTCAAAAAACTAAAAATAGAGTTACCATATGGTCCAGCAATCCCACTTCTGGGCGTGTATCCAGAAAAGACCAAAAACTCTAATTCAAAAAGATATATGCACCCCCAATGTTCATAGCAGTACTATTTACAATAGCCATGACATGGAAACAACCTAAATGTCCATCGACAGATAAATGGATAAAAAGATGTGGTATGTATATATATATATGTATATATAAAAATAAATAATGGAATGCTATTAGGCCATAAAAAAATGAAATAATGCCATTTGCAGCAACATGGATGGACCATGGACCTACAGATCATCATACTAAGTGAAGTAAGTCAGAGAAAGACAAATATATGATATCACTTATATGTGGAATATAAAAAAAAATACAAATGAACTTATTTACAAAGCAGAAATAGACTCACAGACATAGAAAACAAACTTATGGTTGCCAAGGGGAAGGAGGGGAGGGATAAATTGGGAATTTGGGATTAATAGATACATACTACTATATATAAAATAGACAAAAAAACAAGGACCTACTGTATAGCACAGGGGAGTGTATTCAATATCTTGTAATAAACTATAATGGAAAAGAATCTGAAAAAGTATATATATGTACACATATATGTATAACTGAATCACTGCTGTACACCTGAAGCATTGTAAATCACTTACAATTAAAAATAGTATAATAATCAATAAAGAAAAAAAAACTAATGAAAATGGTTACCTATAGGAGACTAGGAAGAATAGTGGAAAAGAGAGAGAGAGGGAAAATATTTTTTTCTGATTTCATTTTGTTTTTATAGTTTGAATTTGGAACCATATAAGTGTTTTAAAAATTAAATCTTAACATAATAAAACTATCTTTAAAAAACAAAAGCAGCCTGAAACAAATGAACCTAATTATGTATCTAGATGGTGGCATAACCGCACAGAGAAGGATTACTTCAAATAATTTTAGAATCAGTATTTTGACTGCATCTCTTGTGGGATATATCTTATAGACAAGAATAACCACAAAGGGATCTTAATGTGCATTAAGTAGTGTTATTTTTAGTAATAATGTTGGTATTATTATGTTGAAACTCATAGGAGAGAGCAAATAGTTAATGATGGCGTTATTAGGAGCTGTAGTTTTCAGCATAAGGAAAAAGATACAAATTAAGAAGCTAAGTAAAAACTTGGTAATATTTGATTTAAAATGGAAAAATCAGTATGACCTCATGACTTAATTTTTTCTTTCTTAAAAACTATATTTTTCCTAGCTTTGTCCACTGAAATGGTCTAGGAGCAATGGCAAGTCAATAACGATAAATGTCCAGAAGTGCCCAGATTGTGGTCTTCAAAATACCAGTTCATACTAAAAGGAACCAGGGCTCTTTAGGGAATTGGATGAGTTCAGGTCTGGACCATTGTTTCTTACAAAAAAGCAAAGAAGCTATCAAAGACTCTTGGAGTTGTACCAAAAGAAAACAGGAGCCAGCACAAAAGGGACTCCCACTAACCAAAAATGGGTAACTTTGAGCCTCAAAAAGAACAGTAACTATAATAAGTTGAAACATCTAATATATTTTAAAAATCCATGAGTCCATAATGATATCTCCCACAAACCAAAGAAAGCAACTTGATCACCTTTGGAGGTTAATAGGACATCAGTTCATTATTATGAAAATTAGGAAATGAAGGCAAAGGATCAAATATTTATCTTGACTTTTCTCTGAATTGTACTTGAGTCACCAAGTAGTTAATGAAAACTTACTTTTTAGCAAAAATCCAGCTAGTTAGTGCAAATGGAATACAGAACTAAAAAAGTCATGATTTTATAGCCACTTATATGATAATGGTATTAAACACAGGTCATTAATGGTTGCTAAAACCATTAGATGAAAGTTTAACGGAAAACTTTATTTTGGACAAATCAGGCTGACTGCAGCCTGAATCCATGGATCCATTTAACCATCACTGAAAGTGGTGCACTCAGATATTAAATGCCTCCTAAGTACTAGCAGCATCTATGAAATATGCTTGCCAAAATATTTCAACTTGAAAGCCATCCAGCCTGTATATTTAACTACTAGATGCAGGAAATACAGGGTGTGTATGTTAAATGACTTCATAAGGAAGATATCAGCCAAATCCTAAACATGGGAGATTCTATAGAAAAGTGACTTGTTTTGTTTTACAGATAGATGTCATGGGAGGAAAAGAAGTGTTGGTCATAGTGTTGCAGGAATGGGAGGTGTTGGCGTCGGGGGTGATACTGATTCAAAAACAATTAAAAGAATAAATTGTAGTAATATGTATCTGGTTTGGATCTGGATTTGGACATAGCACTTGTAAAAAGATATTGAGGAATATTAATTTTTTTAAGAACTTAGGTGTGATAGTGATATTGTAATATTTTTTAATTTTTAAATTATGGGGTGACGTGATATGGCTGATGGGGGGAAGTGGAAGATACGTAGATGAGCAAGAATGGTACAAAACTGATAATTTTTAAAGATAGGTGATAGGGTTCATTAATTTTACTATGTACTTATTAAATAATATATATTTGCCTGAAACATATATCAAACCCTGACCAAGACAGTGTTTTATTCAACTTTTTGACCTCTGCCATCTGATAGGCAAATAGTGGTATTTTGTGGTAATTCCTTTTTTTTTTTTTTTTTTTGCGGTATGTGGGCCTCTCACTGTTGTGGCCTCTCCCGTTGCGGAGCACAGGCTCCGGACGCGCAGGCCCAGCGGCCGTGGCTCATGGGCCCTGCCGCTCCGCAGCATGTGGGGTCCTCCCGGACCGGGGCACGAACCCGCGTCCCCTACATCGGCAGGCGGACTCTCAACCACTGCGCCACCAGGGAAGCCCCCTATTTTTTTTAAACTTATTTTGTTTTTTTCATTTGTTGTTCCTCAGTTTGTTCCTAATTGAGTGTAAGGTTTTCTATGCACAGTGCTATGCTAAGTAAATTAGATAAAAGTGGCCTCACTTCTCCAGTAAATTGCACATTTATGTGGACACACTCACACGGTGGAAATACAGGTGAGCTCAAATAATACAAGCTCTGAATGAATATTTGGGTATTTAAAGCATGATACAGATTGTATTTAAGAAGAAAAGGACATGGGATAAGAGCCTTTACATCATGATGCAGTGTATTTTAAGGGAAGGATATAATTAATGTGAAAGTTGGAATTGATGGCTGAGTGCTGTGGAAACTAGTCCACTTCTTTTTCTATTTGTACTTTTTTTGTTGGCCTGTTGACCTATTGCTTGTTTTCTTGACACTTCTCTTTACCTGATTTCCCTTTTATAGGCCAATTCTTACAGACTTACTTTAGCGGCAATAAAAAGGAAAAATGAAATAAATTGAACACTACTCTCTAAAACCAGTATGTTCTGTAATGAGTAGGGTTAAAACTTTGGAATAAGAACATGGTCGAAACAATCTTTTAAGTGGCTGTCTGATTATATATTTGCTATAAAACTACTTATGTCTCTCTAGGTTGGCAAATAAACAAGATAAGGAAGGGGCTTTAGGAGAAGCTGATGTGATTGAATGCCTGTCTCTGGAAAAACTGGTCAATGAGCACAAGTGCTTATGTCAAATAGTAAGTTTTGGGGGTTCTGCCCTATGAATTATGTTCGGTATAACTTAGTTTTTGTAAAGGTGATAAGCAATTAGGGGGTAGGTAGCTAACAAAATAATTTATTAGTGTTTTTTTTTTTTTTTTTTTTTTGCGATATGCGGGCCTCTCACTGTTGCGGTCTCTCTCATTGCGGAGCACAGGCTCCGGACGCGCAGGCTCAGCGGCCATGGTTCATGGGCCCAGCCGCTCTGCGGCATGTGGGATCTTCCCGGACCGGGGCACGAACCCGTGTCCCCTGCATCAGCAGGCGGACTCTCAACCACTGCGCCACCAGGGAAGCCCTTTATTAGTGTTTTTTAAAATTTTTTTAACCTGTTCTCACTGTTTTTTTAACAGTTCTCACTGTTCATTTGATATTATTTATTACAGTGATATTTGTTTTCTATTTAGTTGTTACTGACTTCTATAAGCTATCTTTCATGATTTCAAAGACTTTAGGTTTGCTCTTTGTTTAAGACATTGCTGACAGGACCTGTAAGCTATACAAACATGTCATGCTATAAATTTTATAAAATGGTAAAAGTATAAATACAAAATTTATACTTAGGGGAAGTTTATAATGAATTTTAAAAAATTATATCAGGAGAGTTATCATACAGTCTTGAGAAGATGGACTGAGGATTTAATCATTTATTCTGGTTTCAGAAAATGATTGTTAGGCTGTCAATCATAAAAGATGGTTACTGGGAACTCCCCGGCGGTCCAGTGGTTAAGATTCCGCACTTTCATTGCCAAGGGTGCAGGTTCGATCTCTGGTTGGGGAGCTATGATTCCACAAGCTGTGCGGTGCAGCAAAAAAAAAAAAAAGGGCTTCCCGGGTGGCGCAGTGGTTGAGAGTCAGCCTGCCGATGCAGGGGACACGGGTTCGTGCCCCGGTCCGGGAAGATTCCACATGCCGCGGAGCGGCTGGGCCTGTAAGCCATGGCCGTTGAGCCTGTGCGTCCAGAAGCTGCGCTCCGCAACGGGAGAGACCACAACAGTGAGAGGCCCGCGTACCGCAATAAATAAATAAATAAATAAATATATAAAAAAAGATGCGTACTGCCGTAAATTCCCTGGTATAACAAATTAAAACTTTCTGCGATTTTTAATAAGTAAGAGTATTTTTCTTCTGTAAGTTCAGTTTTGTCAGTGAGTTCGTTTAAAATTTAACTGTCAACTTTTTGTGTCATAATCGCTCTCAAAACTTACAGATATGATCCATAAAATATTTCCACTCCTACGTACATACTAATGTAGTGATCATTTCAAAGGTGTGTTTTGTAAGTTGAAGCAGGTGCTTCATATCATTAATTTAATGAGTTAATTAATTTTGATTCGCCAGTAATTATATCTTAATGGTTTGTCAATAAATTTTTGTAGAGATCTTTTAGTTTTAATCTTTAAGTCAAACAAATTGCTGTTTTTAAGGAACCTTGTTCAGCAGTCTTGGGATATGGAAAGAAAATTGACAAGTCCATTAAAAAAGGCCTTTATTGGCTGCTACATATCATTGCAAGAGACTTTGATGCCTTAAATGAGCGCATCCAAAAAGACACAGCAGAACAACGTGCTCTTGAGGAACAAGAGAACCGAGAGCGGGCTGAGAGAGTACGAAAATTACGAGAAGAAAGGTAAGTAGATTAATTTTGTAGCACAGTGCATATGAAAAATCAAAAACACCACACTTTTATTAATAATTTTTTTAGTTTTGTCTATTTAGGTTCCTCTTTTTGTATGAAGGAAGATACTAGGTAAATTTTTTATTTCTGTAGACCTGCACAAGTTTGGTTGATAGGGTTCTAAGTTTGGTTGATAGCACAATTGGCATCTAGTGGGAAGAGGCCAGGGATGCTGCTAAACATTCTGTGATGCACAGGACAGTTTCCCATAGCAAAGAATATGTCAGTAGACTGAGAAATCCTTCATTAGTCTCAGCAAAGATAGAAGGTAAGCAGTGAGTGGATCAGCCAGCTGAAGCAAAATCTGATCTTCAACACTTGTTTTGTCTGAAAGTGGACTAAATTGCACTATCTCAGGTTTTAAAACATGCTTTTAAAATTATTTTAAAAATATGTTGCCTAAAGGGAAATTTTAAAAATAAGTTTAGCAAACTCTAAATTAAAAAAAAATGTTTATGTAAATTCTACCACAGAATCAGTTATAATAATGTTAATGCTGGAAGAAAGTACTCAGATTTGATTAGAGGTTGAATTTAGTTCTTAATCCCAAGATTTCTCTTTCTTTCTCCACTGACATGGCAGGAGAGGGAAGAAACAAAAAGATTTCTAAGTGAGCTCCTGTGAGATCCAAAGTGGTCTTCCATCTACCTAAGTAATATTGGCCTTCCATTTGCTTTAACAGTTGCAGCCTGGTAGGCAAGAACACACTAACTGCCCTTGGTGAGGTGCTCCTTTATGCTGTCAAGGAAATCCTCTGATTACTGGTATCTTTCATTTAATTCAGAGATAGGACTTAAAGGAAAATATTTGGAGAGATAACTCTTCTGTCCTCAAGGGCTCAATAACATGAGTAGGTCAGTCATCTCAGTCTCTCTTGATAACAATATGAGGTTTTAGTTCCTATGAGAATCTTTATTTTCTATTCTAGTGTATATTTTCATGATATAAAGCTCAGTACAACCAATCATTCATACAAATATGCCTTCCGTGTATTTATAAAAATAAAATATATGGCCATACTTTTCTAAGGGCTTCTTTGCTTTTTCTCTACTTAGAAGAACAAAAAGAAAAAAAAATTGAGCTGGGTAAAAGAAATCTAATTAGTATTTTTTTTCAAGTTTTTACTTTTTCCATAAAGATATTCCAAGTCATGTTATGGCAGGCTTTTCTGGTACCCCATTCCCCTTTCCTCCTTTCTCCTAGCCATGCCACTTGTGGTCTGAGTCGTCTTCTGTTGAACAGAGACTGCATAATTAAATTTAGACAGGAATAATTAAAAAAAAACTTTTTATTGTTAAATACAATCTAATAGGTTTGGATTTTTTGTTAGTTTGGATATTTTTGAAAAAACAGTAAAACAAGCTATTATTGGTATCTGAAAATAGTATATTAATACCAGATACCTGAAATTGCTTACTAATAAATGAGTAACATTAATGACTGTTGGGACTTCCCTAGTGGTGCAGTGGTTGAGAGTCCGCCTGCCAATGCAGGGGACACGGGTTCGAGCCCTGGCCCGGGAAGATCCCACATGCCACAGAGCAACTAAGCCCATGCACCACAACTACTGAGCCTGCGCTCTAGAGCCCGCAAGCCACAACTGCTGAGCCTGTGTGCCACAACTACTGAAGCCCGCACGCCTAGAGCACGTGCTCAGCAAAAAAGGGGCCACTGCAATGAGAAGCCCACACACTGCAATGAAGAGTGGCCCGTGCTCACCACAACCAGAGAAAGCCCGCGCACAGCAACAAAGACCCAACGCAGCCAAAAATAAAAACAAATTAAAAAAAAATAATGATTGTCCTGTAAGTATGTTTATATACAGAGTGCTTTCACATATATTACTTTACCTGAAATAACCCTATGAACTATGTATTTTATCCACATTTATGGGAAGGCAGAGGCTCAGGTATCCAGATAGATATCCAAGGTCACAGAAGTAGTAAATTGCAGATCTCTAAATTTTGGCTTCCTAGGTTCAGAATGAAAGTATATATCTTTCCATCATAGAACTTAATTAATAAGTGCTGTAGTAATGAACATTGACATTGTTTTACTATATACTATTGTTATACAGTCTAGTTGCAGATCTACAATGGTTATGTTCCTATCTTCAGCTGCTTCTTTTAGTAACTTATTACCTTCATCTATGGGGCAACATTAGCTTTAAATCACAGAGTAATGAAATTCTCAGTAGTAACTAATATAGAAGAACTTATTTAATCTAAGTGATATAGGGCAGCTTATTTCTATAGCCTCTTCTACTTATGCAAAGCAACAGTTGTTATCTAGTTCATTTATGATATATAACTAGACACAGCTCTTAAGATGAAGGTTAACAACAGGACTTATTTATCTGGTTAACATCAGTGAAGAGGACAGCATTTGTTTGGGAGGGTAATTAATAAATTGATAAATATAAACCCTTGTTACATAGAAAAATAATTAATATGCATCACTGATGTTAAGAACTCAATCATAGGGAATGTCATTTTTGTCAGCATTTCTTTTTTTTTTTATTTCTCTCTCTCTCTCTTTCTTTTTGGCTGCGTTGGGTCTTCATTGCTGCGTGCAGGCTTTCTCGAGTTGCAGCCAGCGGGGTCTACTCTTCGTTGTGGTGCATGGGCTTCTCATTGCGATGGCTTCTCTTTGTTGTGGAGCGCAGGCTCTAGGCACGCAGGCTTCAGTAGTTGTGGCACACGGGCTCAGTAGTTGTGGCTTGCCGGCTGTAGAGCACAGGCTCAGTTGTTGTGGCACACGGGCATAGTTGCTCTGCGGCATGTGGGATCTTCCTGGACCAGGGATCGAACCCATGTCCCCTACCTTGGCAGGCAGATTATTAACCACTGCACCACCAGGGAAGTCCTGTCAGCATTTCTTTCTTTTAAAATTAAAATGATTAATCTTTACATGGGGATAGTGGCCTGTTACCTGCATAAAGATATCTGAAAATCTCTCAGTAATTCAAAGCCATGTCCAGATGTTTAAATTACTGAATTCAATAGCCTTAAACCTATTGGAAATGTTCTTAAACATGGTTCAGCATTTTCTCATAAGGAATTCCGATTTTTTTCCCTCAAACAATAGAGAACAAAGAGAGCGAGAGCAGGCTGAACTCGATGGAACCAGTGGTCTGGCTGAGTTGGACCCAGAACCAATTATTGTTAATCCTTTCCAGCCGATAACATCTGTAATCATTGAGGTATGGATGGTGGCAAATGTAATTTTTATGTCTTAAGTTATAAAGTTGGAAGTTCAGAAAGGAGGCAGGGAGCTAGAAGTATTTCACCAGAGGTTGATTATTTGTAAAAGAAATTAAATGGGGGAGATGGGTTAAAGGTTTGCTGCTTTTTCTTCCTCTTCAAATTTACCTTCTGATCTAGTATAAAAAGGGAAGATGACTTCAGAATTAACTGAGAATGAAAAAAAAGATTGAATGTAGCAACTATCACAGTTACTGTTCTGATAAATTTTTTTTGTCACTTATTTCATATGATAATAGTATGTTGACTCATATTTACATTATCTTTATCCCTGTATTGCTTTTACTATCCCTTTACAGTAATATTTAGATGCTTATGGTGCATTATAGTACATAAATGATTTTCTAGTTATTTTCCTAGGATACTTAATGTTTGAGACTATAATAAATTCTCTTATATCTGAATATTATTTATTTTAATTTTAAATGTCAGAAGTTTTACCAAAATTAATGTGTAGATTTTAATCATGAAGAAGTTATGGGGTTTTGTGTGTGTGTGTGTGTGTCCGTGTCCCCGTGTCTGTCTCTCTGTGTCTTTGTTTTCATTTGCTACTGGTGTTTGGAGTTTGCATTGGCCCTGCTTTAATCACCTTCAGCAGCTATTCCTCCTCAGTGACAGAGCTTCCTAAATCTCCTCTCCGTTCCCTCAGAGCTTAATGTGGCAGGTGGCTTGCTGGACCCGCCTGTATGTTCTCTATTCCTCTTCCCTGTCACTGCCTCCTTCCACACAGGTACTCATCCGGAAAAGTGGATGATTATTTCTTCCTTGGGGCTGCTGCTGAGGAGGGAGGCAGCTCCACAGGTAAGAAGATGAGTGTAGAGTTTTTGGTGTTGCTTTGTGTTTGCCAAATAGTTGGTAATATGAGATATTTGGTCTGAAGTTAGTTAGATACTAGAAGGTTAGCTGTATTTAATCTTTTTATTAACCCCATTGCATTTACCATAAGCGTGTGCTTTTCTAAGTATAGTAAAGCAGTCTTAATAACTTGAGCTATTGTTTTGTGTCCATACTATTAAATATTGTGTTTGTCAAGTTTTATATTCTTTTAAAAATATTGGTAGAGGAAAAGAAAATCAAGTTTGGTTTTTTACTTTGAAACATTGATTTACTCTATATTTGTAATAAAGCTCACCTTATAGATAATGACCAATTATTTTATAGTACCATGGTTGTAAATTACTTAGAAGGCCTTAGCACTTCTACCAACATTGTATTTTTCACGATATAAAGATATGAACAATACTGGTATACAGCACAGAATATCTTATATTGAAGTCCCTGAATTAATTAGTGGCATGGGGAAAGTACAGTTATTATGCTTTTAAAATACAGTAATTTTAAGAAGATCATCAGTAAAGGAATGAAATAAATGGAAATAAATTATCCATAGTCTCTCTTTTTCACCAGGCAAATTTTCTTTTCTTCCCCAAAAAACTTCTCCTTTAAAATATTACCTTACATTCATTCCTTTGATTTTATCACAGACAATAAAAATGGTGAGATATTGGTTCCAGAATAGATAAACAGATCAATGAAACAATAGTAACAAACCAAATTATATATAAGCATTTAGTGTAAGATAAATGTGGCATTTCAAATCTGGGAGAAAAGGATATTGGGACAACTGAACAGTCATTTGGAAAAAAGTAAAATTATTGAACACTGTATACCAAATTAAATTTCAAAAGACTTAAATGTATAAAAAAAGAAGACTTAAAAATACTCACATAATACAGTTAGACATTGGTATATACTTGGAGGAGGCTGAAACTTTCAAAGCAGGACAATGAGGCCACAAATTATAAAGTGAAAAATAGGTAGATTGTATTATATTCAGTATTTAAAGAGATGTTCTACAGAGTTAAAGACAGAAAAAAAAACCCAAGCTAATCCTAATGAAAAATATTTGAGACCCAGGAAACAACAAAAAAAGAACCCTTAAAAAATTACTGTGTAAATAATGAACCTCTAGTAGAAAAACGAGCATTGGGTTATCATGGGTAGTTCTTTAAAGAAAAAATTAAAATGGCAATAAACATATTTAATAACTTATCTTCAGTTGTATTGATAATAAAAATATTCAATGATAAATCAACACTGAGGTAAAAAATATTTATTAGTTTGGCAGAGGTGTAAAAGATTGATAATCATTAAAAAAGCATTAAAAAAGATGTCACGGGGAGGACTTCCCTGGCAGTCCAGTGGTTAAAACTCTGTGGTTCCACTGTAGGGGGTGTGGGTTCGATCCCTGGTTGGGGAATTAAAATCCCACGTGCCGAGTGGCGAGGCCAAAAAAAAAAAAAAAAAGATATGGGAAAATACACTCTCTCAACCCCTTGCCTGTGGTGTAATTTTACTTTAGTTTTTCTGAAGGAAAGTTTGTAGTATGGCACATTTAAAAATGTGCTTACTCATTGATCCAACAGCTTGACTGTTAGGAATTTATTCTAAAGAAGTAATTCAATGATTATATTTCTTATAATAGTGAAAGGTTGAAAATCACTTCTTTGTCCATTGATTGGGTATTGGTAAAATAAGATGATAGAACCATTCAAAACGATTGCATAATTGATGAAAGTAGTAATGGCTTACACATATAGCATTATATAATATTTTCATAGCTAACACTTTATTATGTGTCATGCAATATTCTAAGCACTTTATAGGTTCATTGACAAAGAAAGAAATGTATATTCTTAAATTAAAATTTCAATTCTTTTTTGTTTAAAAATATACATAAATATGTATATATAGACAATCAATCACATTTATGTATGTTTGTGGATGGTGTATGTCTGTACATGTGTGGGGTAGGCAAAGAAAAGCACCTCTTTGTGACTATACGTCAAACAGTGGTCATCTCTAGATTGTGAAATTACTGGTAATATTTGTTTTCTTTCTTTATACTATCTCTGTTTTCTGAATGTTTGACAATTAGCATGCTTTAATGATAGACTCAACAAATAATTTTTTAATAGAAATATCACATTGCCTGGAAGTTACAGAATGCTCTTGGATTATTTGATTTCTCCCTTAATACTATCTTAGATATGACTATTATATTAAAAATGATATATTTCATTTTTGTCAGAATGAAAAAAAACTTGAAAGAGAGAAAAAGAGGCAAAATGTGGAGGAAGACAGTGATGGCTGTCCCCTGAAACATAAAATGGACCATGAGCAAATAGAGACACAGAGCCAGATCAGTGACAGTAGCCAAAAAAACAATGGGTTCGGAATAGTAGAAAATTATAAGGAGGCATTAACACAGCAGTTGGAAAATGAAGATGAGACAGACCAGCAGTCATCAGAATCAGGTGATAATCTAGTTATTAAAAATATATATACTTATTTATTTTTATATTTATTTTATTTATTTTTAAGTTTTATATATTACATATAACATAAATAATATATATAAAACTTAAAAATACCTCTTTCATTTGTCATGATTATTTTCATAAAAAATGTATTGCAAGATCTTTCATCTCCAAATGCGTTATTTATCATGGTTTTCTCTTGAATTTTAGGTAATCATTAGTCAGTTTGCTAATTTATGTTTTTATTCATGATGCCTTAAAATCTAGTCCTTTGTAACTTAAAAGAATTTCAGCTGAGAATTCATTTTCAAAAACTTGGAATATTGCACAGCCCCAGGAATCTTTGGAACATATTTAAAACCTTTAAAGCTTTTGGAGGTTTGTTTTGTTTTTCTTAATCCTCATAATGTTATGATCAGCATCATTTCCTTTATTTGCTTGTTATTTCTATAGGATGAAGACATAATCAATTGAACATTTTGAAAGTTTTATCAAATAGCCATATTACTCTTATTTTAATATTATACAACATCTTCAATTCATAATTATTTTACTTTTTCTAAGTGGTTATGTAATTTAACAGGAAGTTCACATCTTTTGGTATCATAGAGAGAGCCTCTGCCTTTGGACTCAAGACATCCTGGGGTAGCATCCAGACTTTCTCACCTACTAGATATATGTTACGTTATATAGTGTTCTTCAGTCTTCGTCTCCTCTCTAAAATGGGGTTGTCATCTTTTTTTTCACCAGGCTTTTAGGTTTACTTATAATAAAAGTAACTCTATGGTGTTCCTAGCACAGGGCCTGACACATGGGAAATACCCAATAATCATTGATTCCTTGCCATTCCTAGTTAGCAATATGGTTCCATGGTATATAAGAATTTTTGTACAGTATCAAAGAGTTTATGAAAATAAGATCTCAGTCCCTGAGCTGCAGATTAGCTCAATGGATATTTTGCTATATAGAAATAATTAGATTTGAAAGTTATAGTTTTGTAATTTGGGAAGTTAGGGTAGCCACATTTGTACCCATATCGCACTATCAACAGTGTAAAACAAAAAGTAGACTTAAAGTGGCCTCTCAATATATTGGAAGAACTCTTTCAAACACTAATATGTTGTTAAAGAACAAAATGATTTGGTAGATGATTTGAAAATATTATTTAACACAGCACTATGCTATTTACCATAGTGCTAGTGCTATTTACCTAGTGCTATTTACCACAGCACTAGGTATTTACCTAATACCAGTGGTATTAGGACTGGCTCATTTATAGCAGTTCTCGGGTATATTATTCTCATTATACAGAATAGGAAACCAGGGCCTTGGAGAGGTTGAGTAATTTAAGATCATATGTCTCATCTGTGGCTGTACTGAGACACACTTCCCTCAACTTCAGGTCCTCTGCTTCGTATCCTATGCTTGTCCATGACCCTGTTCTACTGCCCATCCGAAAGTACCATATGGTTCTGGAGGTTCTCTTTCCTTTCTCCCAGCTGTAAAGCTTACAGCTTTAATTGTAAAAAGATGTCTCCGTTTCTATCTAGAGTAAAATGTCTCAAGTGATACTAATTTACTTAGAAAAATAATGTTTCTAAATATATTTGTATTTCTCATTGCTTTATAGGTTTCATAGATGTTGGCTGCTTGTTGTGTAACAGATAATTTCCATTTTAGAAAATGTATTATATATATAAATTTAGCAATTTGGGGTTGTCAGTGAAAATATTTCAGTGACTGTGATGTTTGGTTATTTAACTACTGTGCCTTCCTGGTTCACGTTGTTAAAGTTTACATGTTAACAACGCAGATGCACTTAAAATGTTCATATGTGCTTAAGTGAGAATCTGTAAATAGTTATTTTTAGAAAGATTACAAATTCAATTCTGTAACGTCTAACAATGTGAGTTTTGGTTACATATATTTATATTGGGCGTATCTTATTTGGGGGTTATTTTCATGGATAATGTGTTTAGATTTGATTGGGGTGTTTTTTCACATTTCAAAGGATTATTTTTGGACTTATACCTAGAATCATTCTGTATATCCTATTGAGACAAACCAATCCCTCTCCTTTTTCTCCAGGTCATTCTGAGTTTCATGGAAGTCCCTGCAGCTAGATAATTCCATTTACTTAGTATGATATTTGGGGAAAAAAATATTACTTTTGGAAATACCGACTTTTTTTGTATTCCAAATCACCTTTCATAGAACTTAAAATATGGCTTTTTGCCATTTGTGTCATATTCATCAATCATTCATCCAATAAACCATCACTTAAAAATTTATTCTTAGTAAAGGCAAGTTCACAGTTCATTATTGGTAACAATTTTTAAGTTGTATTGAAGATATATTCCTATGGTAATAATAATATCAATATTCTAATTCTGTTCTTTAGTTTTTATTATAGAAGTAACTTCTTCACAGAGGCATAAAGTTTCATGTTTATATTCTTACAGATAACAGTAAAAAGAAAACTAAGAAGCTAAGAATGAAAAGGAGCCACCGTGTAGAACCTGTTAATACAGATGACTCTGTTCCTAAGAGTCCAACACCACCCCCACCTCCTCCTCCTGGTGAGTTAATTGATATTGATACTGAATTTAGAAATACTGCTTTAAACATTGAAGAAAAAGAAAGAAATTATGCAGTTTTTATTCAGTATATTTATTATCTTGTGAATTGTGAAAAAGGTAGAATTTTTTGCTCCATCTACTTTGTTCAGAATTTATCAACGTAAATATCTGTTGCTTTTTTTATTCAGAAAAAATGTTTTATGAAAGTAAAAAAATAAGTAAAAATTAATAAGAAAACTTTACCTAAGCACTTCTTATAATGGATTCAAGTCCTATTTGAAATATCAGTACCCAGATTGCTAAAAGGAATTTAAGTTTAAGGAATGGATGGCTAACATGAGCTTTTAAAAAATTAGATCTTTCATCCTGAAAGTTAACATTTGAAACCAAGATGTGTGAGTGTTTCCATTATATTTCCAACATTCATGCCGACCTTCTAAGCTGTTATGAGGATTAAGTGGAATACTGCATGTAAAGCACTGGGACATACTAACTGCACAATAATCGTAATTTTTTAGCACTGGGCATAGTACCTCACATACTCAATAAATATCAAACGTATATATTTATAGTTTCCTTTTAGCCCTGCTAGAAGGCTTTAGATGGTAACATTTTCCTTTGAGAATTATTTTAAGACTCATTTCTAGTATTCCATTTAATAAGTGTACATTTCTTTTAGTCTCTGTTGGGGGTTAGAATAGTAGCCTAAGGTTATTTATGATGGTAGTGAGGATGCTTATATTTTTAATGAAAGGTAAATAAAAATTTTAAGCAGATATTACCAACCTATAATTACATTTTTAAATAGAAGCCATTTAAAATGGGTTTATGGTTATTCAGTACTGCATCATTCAGTATATATGAATTGATATTGAAGTTATATACATTCCTGTCAAGAAAGGGATCCTCTCAACAGACCTAAAGAGATATTGTTTAACAGTGTTTTTAAATGTTTTTCTTTTTCTTTAGTTGGCTGGGGAACCCCCAAAGTCACTAGACTTCCAAAACTTGAGCCTCTTGGTGAAACACGTCATAATGGTAATGCAAAAGGATCAGTTTTCAAAGCTCTACGTATCACATTCACTTTTCTTTACCTCATTACTTCAACAAACTTTTACTTTTGGAAGACTTTCAAATCCACAACCATCCTTTTTCATTATACTCCACTTTTTTTCATTTATTTATTTTTTTATTCTTAAGTGCCCTTTGCCTCTATATAATTTGATTTGACCTTTATCTTAGAATACAGAGGTAAAGACCGTCAGAGCTTGTGTTTATCCATTATATATTAATGTAAATAGTTGTGAAAGGGAAAGAGTTTTAAATATCTTAAATATGAGACAGTACATTTATAGTGTTAAAAACTTCATTGTCCTATATATGCTCAATATACTCAATGATAATGTCGCATAATTGTTCTTTCTCTGCTTCTAATGATACTCAGCTGCTGTATATTACAATGAAGTAAAGAGTAACACAGTTTGTAAGATCAGAGACCAAATCAGTAAGCCAAATAAAGTCCAGCTAAATAGAAAGTTACTAAAGGCTTCATTGACTAAAGAAAACACTTTTTTTTGGATGAAATTAACACAAGGTTTAGTACAGCCAGTATAGGGCATAAGAACTTCACCTGGAAAACTAGAGAAAGGACAGTTGGGAGTAGAGAACTGCCTTATACAATAGGCAGAAGTTCTGATTTCAGACCATCAGCCCAGATTCTTTTAATAAAATATTTCTAAAATGCAGAAGGATAATTTTATATATATATATAGTAACTCAATAAACTTCTTTATCAAGAACATTTCATTTCCTTTCTGATAGCTTTGTTTACCTGATCTAGAACTTGGTTTCCTAAGAAGACCCATTTACTAGGGAAAAAAAAATCAGAAGTTTAATCTTTAGAAAAGCCTTATATATAATTTGAAATTATATTGAACTGTATAAAATATTTTATTCAAAAAGTATATAAATTTAAATGTGCTGGTTGCTTTCTTTTTCTGAATACTGTGTCAATAATGAAATATTTCTTCATAATCATTAGTGAAAATTAAAAGGTTTTTTTCAATTCTAAAGACAGAAAGTTTGTCCTTAGACCATATCAAAATTACAGTGAAATCACATGTCTTTTTGGTTGCTGACTTTACATCATGATGTTTTTATTGACTATAATAGGTTAATTCCTGTTTTATTACCCTCTGAAATTGTGTATGCTAGACTGCATTATCAGTTTAAATATTCACTGTGTTGTTAGAAACAATTAGATAATGCTAATATATGTGTGTATAAATACATGTGTGCATGTGTTTATACACAGATATATTAGCATTACCTAATTGTTTCTAACAACACAGTGAATATACATAAATATATGTATATAGAGAAAAATTAATTTCTCATATAACAGGTACTATTTTTTCTTACTGAATTGGGCATCCAACAAACAACTGTTTTGTATCTGACACCACCTGAAACATTGGTGTTGCCAAGATGAATAAGACGTAAATTCTACTTTTCTGGGGATCCTAGTCTAACAGAAAAGATAATACTCCAGCTTACTATAGTATATGTGACAATTCACAATATATGGTAAAAGGTTCTATGGTGTATAATTGGAGTACTGTGCACAAACTGCCTAGACAGTGAAAGTGGTATTAGGACTGGCTCTTTGAAGAATGAGAAGAGTCAGTAAGTAGAAGGAACAGACTATTCAGAGGTGGAGAGGTGGGAAAAGACATCGCTTATTTGGAAAATAGTATGAAGTTACTTGTGACTAGAGCTTAGTTAGGTTCATGTGGGTAGAATGGATAAGAAAGAGGAAGTTTAAAGTTATAGAGAGTGCTGATCTTTGAATTATGGCTTATAGCCAGATTGTTTAGGGCCTCACATGTATGTTAAGATGTCTGGACTCACTATAATTTTACAGGAGACACTATACATTTTTAGCAGAGAAATAGTATTACAAGGTTTATTGTTTAGGATAATAATTTTTGTCACAATGTAAAGTATAGACTAGATTGTGGTCACACCTGAAGTAAGGATCCCAGTTAGAAGCTGTTGCAGTAGTCAGAGTGAGAAGTGAAGATAGGAATTGGAATTGAGAATAAAAATGTATGCAAGGAATATATGAACAGTTATAAGTACTATATAATGAATGGATGTATGGGATAAAAGGAGAGAGGAACAGGAAATTATTTGGCTCAAGGAGCTAGAAGGTTGGTGCTATTTCTAAGACTGAAAATACATGAGGAGGAAGGAAACTTTCTCTGGAGGTGTCTGTAGGCTTATCTATTTGGAAATTTCTATAAGCCAGTACAAGTAAGATTTTGGAGCTCTGGAGAAAAGGGACACAGGTGGGTGGGAGGGTATGTAGGTAGTTTGTTTTTTCAGTTGTCATCGCACAATAGGAATGCTTTGTTCTGTAATAGATGTTCTGTAATTGGTTACTGAATGAATGCAGTTGAAAGAATGATAGTTTCCTGTTTCTGAGGGAAAGTATGTAGAATAAGGAGAAAAGAACTAATGGTAGCATCTAGGGGGAACATTATAGTTAGAAGCAAGTGAAAAAGAGGTTGAAAATGGGCTAAAAAGGTTGTTTTTTGTTTTTGCTTTGTTTTTCTTTGCTTTCCTGTATTTATTTTTAAATTAGAACTCCTGGAAAAGAATTATAATCAGTTAGTTAAGTTTAAGACTACCATTGTTCTAATATATCAGTTAATTTTAAGTATGTATCAATAAACTTAACTTTTCAGAGCAAAGAATTAGACATCCTAACTTCACAAGTTTTTAAATATCTGTATTATTTTTTCTCATAAATTTTAAGGCAAAGTATACCTTATCTAGGTAAAAAAAGATGTACAATCAACTCTGCTTTCATTAATGGAGAAGAAAGTAGGTATAATAAATTTAAATTTTTAATTAAAAAGCTTAAATTAGTTTTTAGTGTTTATCACGAGATTTTCATCTGAGATGCTGATAGTTGCCAATTTTATAATCTCATTCTCTTCTCTTCCCTAACTTTGTACACATTTATTTGAATGTGGTTGATGGCAAGTAGACAACAGATACATGACAAACAAGGGTAAATAATTAAAAGTTAACTACATTTGGGTTTGGCATTTAAAATTTACTGAGATGAAAAACAATTTGTTGTAGTCAAATTAGGAATTAAGGCAGATTCTTATTTGTTCTTTGATTAGAGACATTTACCTTGATGGCAATTTAATTTTATTACTTTTCTAATTTCTTTTATTTTCTGTAAACTTCACTCTGTGTAACAGGTAAGACAGATGCATTCTTCACTTTGTAAATACTCTCAATCGGTACTTTATCAACATGTTACGTGTTATACATTATGAGAAATAAATCCAAGATTCTGTTAGCCAAAAATACCAAGTGCAAAACTAAAGAATATTTTCAAATCTTAAAATATGAATCAAGATTAAATTTTGTATGTTAAAAAGTTTGAAGCCCTTTATAAAAATGGGTGTCAATTAATTTGGTCATATCAGTCGGGCACTATGATCAACTTATATCCCCTACATTTAAGGCAATAAGAAACCTATTTTGTGTAGAATGGTTTAATTCTGGCGGTTAAATACAGAATCACATTTAATCAAAAGAAACTTTTTCTTTGTGATGATTAAATTAAATCAAATACAGAATTAAATTAAATACAGAATTATTCTGAAATAATACAGAATCAACTGCAAAAAAAAATAATTTCTTGGGAGGGAAAAAGATACTTCTTGCCATGTGTATGTGATTTATCTTTTTAGTAGGGTACTTTTAAATTCCAGAAGTAAAACATAATAGAAACGGTATTCATTCTGGTTTAATCTTGAGTTCTGTTATGTGTTATAATTCTCATTAATTTTGAAATCAAGAAATTAGAAAAGGCATACTTTAAATTTATCAAATAATTGTCTCTGTTATAATTTTAATTATAGCAATAGTAATAACTGTATATACTATGTGACTGGCATATTGCTAAGCACTTTAGGTACATTATCTCATTTTAATTCTTCTAATAGCCTTGTAAGATGGGCAATTTTTTGTGTAAGGAACTTATACCCCAAGGTCACATAGCTATAAGTGGCAAAATCAGGATTTGAACTTAGGTCTGTCCAGCTTTGAAATCCATACTTTGAATTCATTATATTATACTATTACATTAAGATTTGTTAGAGCATCATTGCAGCTTAGTAGTTGCTTTAAATTTATAGTTGCTTGAACAATCATTTTCTCCTAATTTTTTTAAAGAGGCAAGAGTATACAGTTTATTATTTAAAAATTTTTTTTTTGTTAAGTAATGATATAGCTGTGGCAAATCAAGTATTGTCTATGGTACACTCTGGTAGAGGCTGCAAACTGATGACACAAGGCAAATCTGACTGTTTAACCAAACTGATGACACAAGAGCAAATCTGACTGTTTAACCAAACTGATGTTCAAAATGTTTGAAATAGGGGGTACATGATGGTGGTATGTCTCATTACTGGTGGTGTTAACCTTGATCATTTGGATAAGGTGGTATTTGCCACATTGTAAAATGTTACTGTTTTCCCTCTTTGTAATTAGTAAATATTTTAGAAGTGATTCTTTGAGATTATGCAAATATTCTGTTCTCCACAAACTTTAGCCTACTAGTTTTAGTCTCCATCATTGGACTGTGTCTGCAATAATTATTACTATGGTATTTGCCTAATGGTAATTTTCTGTTTCTCTTTCTTACATTGAAATTTATTCAGATTCATTATTTAATTTATTTTTTATTTTTTCCTTCCAGTTTTATTGAGATATAATTGATTTAAAGCACTATATAAGTTTAAAGTATACAGCATAATGACTTGACTTACATACATCATAAAATGATTATCACAATAAACTTAGTGAACATCCATCGTCTCATACAGATAAAAACAAAAGAAAAAGAAACTTTTTCCTTGTGATGAGAACTGTTAGGATTTATTCTCTTAACAACTTTCATATATAACATACAGCAGTGTTAATTAATTAATCATGCTTTACATTACATTCCTAGTACTTACTTATTTTATAACTGGAAGTTTGTACCTTTTGACCACCTTCGTCACCATACAAAGATACTACATTATTATTGACTATATTCCCCACTCTGTACATTTCATCCCTGTGACTCATTTATTTTGTAACTGGAAATTTGTACCTCTTAATTTCCCTCACCTACTTCACTCATTCTCCCAACAACCCTACTGCCCTTGCTACCCACCTCCCCTGTCCAGCAGCTATCTGTTTGTTCTCTGTATCTATGACTGTTTCTGTTTTATGTTTGTTCATTTGTTTTTTTTTTAGATTCCACATGCCAGTGATATCATACAGTATTTGTCTGACTTGTTTCATTTAGCATAATACTCTCTAGGTCTATCCATGTTGTCAAAATGGTAAGGTATCCTTTTTTTTTTCTGGCTGAGTGATATTCCAGTGAGTGTGTGTGTGTGTGTGTGTGTGCGTGTGTTTATATGTGTATCACATCTTCTTTATCCATTCGTCTACTGATGGGCACTTAAGGTTGTTTCGTATCTTGGCTATTGTGAATAATGCTGTAATGAATAAGGGGGGTGCACATATCTTTTTGAATTAGTGTTTTTGTTTTTTTTGGAAAAATACCCAGAAGTGGAATTGCTGGACTGTATGGTAGTTCTATTTCTAATTTTTTGAGGAACTTCCATACTGTTTTTCATAGTGGCTGCTGTGCTGTTTACTTTCCCACCAACAGTGCATGAGGTTCCCTTTTCTCCACATCTTCACCAACATTTATTATTTGTGTTGTTTTTGATGATAGCCATTCTGACAAGTGTGAGGTGATATCTCATTGTGGTTTTAATTTGCATTTCCCTGATGATAGTGATGTTGAGCAACTATTCACATGTCTGTTGGCCATCTGTCTGTTTTCTTTGGAATAATGTCTATTTAGGTCCTCTAGCCCATTTTTTAATTGGATTGTTTGTTTTTTTGATGTTGAGTTGCATGAATTCTTTGTATATTCAGATGTTAACCCCTTATTGGATATATCATTTGCAAATATCTTCTCCCATTCAGTAGGCTTTCGTTTTGTTCATAATTTCCTTGCTATGCAAAAGCTTTTTAGTTTGATGTAGTCCCATTTGTTTATTTTTGCTTTTGTTTCCCTTGACTGAGGAGACATATCCAAAAAATATCGTTAAGACTGATGTCATAGAGTGCACTGCCTATGTTTTCTTCTAGGATTTTTATGGTTTCACATTTTACATTTAAGTCTTTAGTCATTTAAAATTTATTTTTGTATATGGTGTGAGAAGGTAATCCAGTTTGATTATTTTGCGTGTAACTCTCCAGTTTTCCCAGTACCATATATTGAAGAGGCTGTCTTTTCTCCATTGTATATTCTTGCCTCCTTTGTCATGGCCTTTTTTTTAGTGGCAGCCCTAGAGTTTGCAATATACATTCACAACGAATCCAAGTCCACTTTCAAATAATACTATACAACTTAATGGGTAGTGTGAATACCTGTAATAACCAAAGAATCCTAATTCTTTCCTCCTGTCCCTTGTTTCATTGCTATCATCCATTGATTTATATATAAGCATATATATAAGCATATATAAGCATACATAAGCATTTATATATAAGCATATATGTACATAAGATATGCATATAAGTATATATAATCAGATACATTGTTGCTATTAATATTTTGAACAAACTGTTATCTGTTGGATCAATTAAGAATATGAAAAATAAGTTTTCATTTTACCTTTACATATTTCTTCTTTGATACTTTTTCTTTCTTTATGTAAATCTGAGTTTCTGATGTTTATTATTTTCCTTCTGTCTGAAGAACTTTTAACATCTCTTGCAAGGCAGGTCTAATGGGAACAGATTCCTTCAGTTTTTGTTTTTCTGAGAAAGTTTTTATTTCTCTTTTACTTTTGAGGAATAATTTTGCAGGGTATAGAATTCTAGGTTGGTGGCAGTTCTTTTTTCTCTAAATACTTAAAAAATTTCACTCTACTTTCTTCTTGCTTGCATGGTTTCTGGGGAGAAGTTGAATGTAATTCTTACCTTTGTCCACCTACTGGAAAAGTGGTTTTTCCCCCCTGGCTTCTTTCAGGATTTTTTTTTTCCTTGATTTTCTGTAATGTGAAAATGATACACCTAGATGTAGTTTTGGGGACATTTATCCTGCACAATGTTCTCTAAGTTTCTTAAATCTGGTGTTTGGTGTTTGACATTACTTTGAGGAAATTCTCAGTCATTATTGCTTCAGCTGTTGCTTCTGCTCCTTTCTCTCTTCTCCTTCTGGTATTCTCATTACATGTATGTTAGACCTTTGGTGCTTGAACAGTTCTCGGATGTTCTCTTTTTTTCTTTTCAGTTCTTTTTGCTTTTTAGTTTTCAAGGATTCTATTGATATATATCTCTTTTCCCAGCCTTGTTCAGTTTACTAATAAACCCATCAAACGCATTCTTCACTTCTGTTACAGTGTTTTTTTCTCTTTTCCCAAAAGCATTTCTTTCTGGTTCTTAGGACTTCCATCTCTCTGCTTACATTTCCCATCTGTTCTTGCATGCTGTCTACTTCATCCATGAAAGCCCTTAGCTGATTAGTCATAGTTGTTTTAAATACCGGGCCTGATAATTCCAGTATCAGTGCCATATCTTGTTTTGACGCTTGCTCTGTCTCTTCAAATTGTGTTTTTGCCTTCTGGACTTTTTTCTTCATAGTCCAGCATGATGTACTTGGTAAAAGGAACTACTGTAAATAGGCCTTTAGTAATGCCATGGTGCTGTGTGGTGGCAGGGGAAGCATTCTATGTTCCTGTGATTAGGTCTCAAGTCTTTTAGTGAGCCTGTGCCTCTGGACTGTTAACTTCTTAAGAGTTTCTCAATTTTTTTTTCTCCCCCATTAAGTGGTGCAGAATGGCTAAGGCCAGCTGGAATTGGTTATTGCTCTTCCCCAGGTGGGTTAGGTTCTGATAATATCCCAGCAGGTTAGACTCTGGTTAACTAGTTTCCTCTGAGTGTGGGCCTTGTTAAGAACAAAATACTCCAAGGTATTTAATAATGGTTCCTTTTCCCCTGCTCTGCTGTGAGCAGGAGGGGATTTTTCTCCAGTATTTACTGTGGGAATTTGTTCAGTCTCCTGGAGCTGAATCTCACAATATCGGGGAGGGGGTCCCCCTTATGACTTAATTTCCCTGGAGTTTTTAACTCTCAGGCTGGTCCACACTGAGCATCCAGCATTTTGTCAATCACATTTCAGGTTTTCCTACCTGGGCACTGGTTCCCTCAGCACTTTCCATTCATGAATGTCTGGCCTGGTAAACTGAGACTTCCTGTGTTTGCCTGTCTCTCCAATACTGAGGGCAGTGGTTTGTTTTGTGACCTCCCCTCTCTTACGGATCCCAGAAGAACTGGTGATTTTTTAGTCTGTTCAGCTGTTTACTTCTTCTTAGTATGGAGTGACTTCTAAGCTTCTTAAATGCTGTTAGGACTTTGCTAAATTAATGTTTGTTAAGTAGAGCCCCTGGCCTCAGTTCAAAAAGACCAGAAGAGAAATTGAAATAGAGAAATTACTCACAGGTCCTGAAGGAAGTACATGACATGCTTCAAGGGTTCCACAGTGAGAAGTGGGAGGTCAAGGCAAGCTGTAGGCAGAGAGAACTGCAGTACCTGGGCCACATGCCTTTATTAGGGTCTGTGGATGGAGTGCTTTGGGGTTCCCAGGCTAAGGCCAGATTGGTCAGTTTAAACCAAAACAGCGGAGTTTTGGTAAGTTCCTCTGGGGTATTATCTAAGGGAAGGTGAGGGAGACAGTTGATCACGAAGGCCATTGGGGAAGTCATATCAGGAACTTAGCATTTACCTGTGATTCTGCAGGCTGTTTTCTAGAGCATATTCTTGCATGAGGTGCTAGTATCTATTTAAGGCCCCCACAGGCCACTTGGCCAGACAAAATAGATGCTGAGGCAGCAATACCATGGAGTAGCTTAGCTAAACTCCGGCCCATGCAGAACTGGAAATGGGCCCCTGAATATATTTTTAATATATTTATTTCAAGTAATCTTGAACACCTGTGCTTCTAGAATAATTTTTAAGGTAATAGGCCAGAAAATACTTACTGAAGGTTTCCATATGCTATTAAATTGATAAACCTAAATTTATGGTAATTAAGGGCTAGGAACTTATTATGAAGTACAAATTAAGACTGTTTCTGTATCAAATATGCCCTAAATCAATGAACTATATTGAAGCATCATTGTAAAAGATTCCTATGTACCAGAACACTAAGATAATTAATGAATTTTTCTCTGCAAATTCCTAGAAGTAATAGCCATTGGATAAGGATATGGATTGTACAAATACTGATTTTATCAGGGCTTTGGCAATAGGTTCCATAAATTTTAGATGTTTGTTGTTTGCTTTGTTCTAATGTGAACACTTAATTGGAAACAATAATAATAATATATACATTAGGTGCAGCTTTTTATTAAATCAAGTAGAGATTAATTTATAACCTAGAGTTATGAATTTACGCTAGTGGTTGTGTTTTGAATTTATTCAAGTTTTTTTGGATTCTGCCTTTTCTTTCCCTTGTCCTCCCCAACCATTGCTTCACCTGTAAAGTCAGAGTGTCTTACTCTTTTAAAGGTGGAAATTAAAGAATTGTGTCAGAAATCTTGATTTACCATAAGACTTGTATATTTTTGGTACCCCTTCTTTGCACAGACTTCTACGGGAAGCCACTGCCTCCCCTGGCTGTGCGACAGAGACCTAACAGTGATTCTCACGACGTCATATCGTAACCAGCTCATATGGACGCGCTCTGTTAAGGTCGGCAAGATGAGCTGGAGGACCTTCTTTCTCAAAGGAGAAAAACCCTGAACATCGATGACTGGGGCAAGACAACCGTAGCAGTATCAGTGAGCCAAAGACCTGACTGTTTTGATAATTACTTACCCATGGTCTTCATGGTTCAAAGAAAAAAAAGAAGCAAAATGACCAGCAAATGGGACAAGCATTTGGACCAAGTTAGCAAAAATTAGTGTTGACTCTGATTTATACATCCCCACTCATGGGCATATTCCTGAAGGAAAAGCTGTTCAGAAAAAGAGCCAATGGACTCTGTACACTTTCTTTACTATTTGTTTAATAGTCTTTATTTCTGTATCTTAAACATTTGTAAGATATATGTGCATGGAAAGGGAATTCTTAGGAATTTATAACCTAAATTTTTAACTTTTTATATTTTTCTAAAACTTTGGTTTAAGAATTTTAATTACTAAGATATTGACTGTGCACTTTTCTATAGATGCTTTGTTTAAACTGTGTCTGGAAAATGGAGTTGATTTACATGACAGACATGAACTATACAAACAGGATATATTTATATGGTTTGAGGTATGTTTTATAATAATACTGTTCTTGAAATATACATCCTAATTTTACCTTATTTTAAGATATCTTTTTAAAATCGATTCTCAGATTTTTATTTTACCAAATTATGTTATTTGAAAGCACTAATTAATTAATTGAATTTTTGTTGTTTGTTTTCTTTGGTGATGTTCCCAATAAATGAGAGACACTTGCAATACCTTTTGACTTAAATGCTTTTTAAATTAATAAAACTGTTTTCTGAGATATTATTAAAAGTTCCAATAAACACCTCTTTCAAAGATTAGATCTTTTCAGAGATCAGGGTGCTTCTTCTCACTCCCTTGTTCTATCAGAAGCTTCAGTGACTCTTTTAGGTTATTCTAATTCTCTTTTGCCTTGAAATTAAAGGCAAAAAGACCAGAAAAGCTACTGTAGTCCAGAGACTTTATTTTATAACCGGGAAATACTTGGGTACTAAAGAAATAAGAATGAAATGTTGGTTTAAATTACATTTATAAAGAAATAATTCCAAAATAATTACTTAATTTAAAATAATAGTACTTCTCTTGCACTGAAGAACGGCATCTATAGGATTCTTCCTCATCTGGCATTTAGACAAACTTTTAGATATATATTTTGAATAATAGATTCAAATGTTTAATTAAAAGCATCCATTTACATCAAGGTGAAAATACTCTAACCCAGCAGTCCCCAACCTTTTTGGCACCAGGGACCATCCCCCACACACACCGTCTGTGGAAGACAAGTTTTCCATGGACGGTGGGGGGATGGTTCAGGAGGTAATGTGAGTGATGGGGGGCGATGGGGAGCAGTAGATGGAGCTTCGCTTGCTCGCCCGCCCCTCACCTGCTCTGTGGCCTGTTCCTAACAGGCCAAGGACTGGTATCGGTCCGCAGCCCGGGGGTTGGGGACCCCTGCCCTAAACAGTAATCACCTTGTTAAAATTGGTCAGTTTGGCAACTTGTACTGTTAACAGACTTATACTGGTATCTGACAATAACATGATTAAGTATGTCTAAGACAGTTTAATAGGATTATTTACTTTTAAAATTTTCCTTTAGAGCATCACATTTTATTCACATTTTTTAACTCATTGAATGCGTTTATTAATCAGGTCACTTATTACTGTAGTCAGCATCATATGCAGTTTTTTGGAGTTTTGTACATGGGACCTACTTAGCACACTGAATAGAAAAAGCGTTCTATTTCAGATACAAAATTCATAACAACCTAAATTTGATACGTGACTGAAGTGTAAGGAAAAGCAACACAAGAAGACAATGTAAATTTTGAATTGGATTTTAGAGAAGAAACTTGTTTGTATATCTTTTTTGGTTCCATTTTGTAAAATTTACATTTATTCATTTTCTAAAACCTAAACTAACACTTTTGCCATTTTTAATATTCATCTAGTTTGGGAATAGATATAAATCTTTAAAATTTTTGTTTCCTACCAGTGATTACTGTAGTGTACAATAATTACTGAGTCCATTTAATAAAAATAAATAAAAATCATTTTCAAGATTTTGAAATTAAATATATGATAAAATGGAATAAATGTTTTATATCTCTCTCAAAAATTAATTTGTATTCTTAAAGCATTCTAAAAATATTTTTAAAGTTTTGTAAATCCAGGTGGCTTTTAACAAGTAAATGCCTATTTTGTTATATGCTGCATTTTTATTCTTAATCATTATGAATTATGACATTTTCACACAATAAAAATAATTTCATCAGTATGCTGTTTTGCTTTTCATTTGAGAAACTTAAATGATTTCATTTTGGTAACGAAATAAAACATTTTTTTAAATATGATTGTTGACATTTTAAATTGATAGATTAAAATGATAAATTTTTTGTTACTTTACATGAAAAACTTTTTTCTCTGCATGCATTTTTATATATATGGGAAAGAACATTGTCATTTCAAAGGCAGTTAAACATACATCATATCACCTTATGTTTCTAGATGACTTGATGTCTGTCTCTTGTTAAGATAAAGCTACTAACCAAAAGATAGTTTCACTTTTTTGAAAGATAATTCTCTATACTTTTATGTGTAAAATGCATATATAACATATATACAATTGTGTATGTAGTTGATTTAAGTAGAAAACGTTTTAGAAGCAACACTAGAAAGAAATGTTGCAAAATGCTAATAGTGAATTTTTTAGTTATTGGTCATGTGTTTTCCTCAATTTTTCAAGCTAGTTTTTTGTAATTTGTCTACTTTTATAATGGAGGAAGCAAATTCATAATTTTGTAAAAATTAAGTGCCATGTTTTCTGCAAGTTTAAAATGAAATGCTCTTTTTAGTGCCAAATGATGGAATAGAATTCACCTAATTTGTAAAACTTTCTGTGAATAGTAGAGGAACATTCAACAATTGAATATGCCATTATATTTGAGGCTGATCTCTTACTGTGTTCCTTTACTATGGCAATATTTTATTTTATTTGAAACTTGGTTCTATATGTTACGCTTTTTATGTTACTTAGTTTCTCCCATTCCACACTAAAGAAATACTATGCTTCCAGATGGCAAAACTTATCAAAAGTGAAACTGCTTATACAAATAAAGCTGTAGGTTATACATTTTGTTATCTTTGGCTTTACTATTTAAGTTTTTCTCTAACTGAAGTATATTTTGCAATTGAGATTCTGCTAATACTGACCTTCTAATTTATCAAGAAATACATTCCAGTGGATCAAAAAAATAAATTCATATATTTCAAACTTTACATTAAAGAATGGTGTAAATTATCAAAATAGCAATAATCCATTGTCTTTGTGGAAGCAATAATAGAAGTCTATTTTTTTGAGAAAAAATAGTAAATCAGAAATGAATTTCTTTTAATGAAGGGGATCAGTTTATATTAAAGGGAAAATATGAAGAAAATCATTTGCCAGTTTAGAGCATGAGTTGTAAATTCCTTTTGTGTGCTGATGAGGAAACAATTTGTGTTCTGGGTAAATGAACCAGTGGTCTCCAAATTTTATACATCCTCTTCAGTAAGCATTTTTAGTATACATTAAATATAAAATTACTGCATTAGTTTGCTAGGGTTGTCATAACAAAAAGTACCACAGACTGGGTGGCTTAAACAACAGAAATTTATTTTCTCATAGTTCTGAAGCCTGAGTCCAAGATTAAGGTGTTGGCAACCTTGTCTGAAACCTCTCTCCTTGGCTTACAGATGGCTGCTGCTAGTGTCTCAGTGTGCCCAAATTTTCTCTTTATAAGGACACCAGTCAGATTGGATTAGGACCCACCCTAAAGGGCTCCTTTTAACTTAGTCACCTCTGAAAAGGCCCTATTTCCACATGCAGTCACATTCTGAGGTGGTGGGATGGGAGAGTGGGTGGGGGAGGGGGGAGTTAGGGCTTCAACATGAATTTTGAGGGGAAAAGTTTCAGCCCTTAACAATTATATACATGTTCTCCTGTATTTTGCATATACTCCCCTAAATTTATTTTAAAGATTAGAAAAAATTAAATAAAAATACAAGTTATTATATTCATTTCCCAGTCCCAGTGGATTGTCTGCTGGAGTTTGTACACACCACTTTGGAGGACTATGATTAAAAAAATGAGAGCCTCAGCTAAGTAGCTACTCACCTAAAGTGAAGTTCAAGATTGCCTATAACTGTGATTTGTTCTCTTGCTTTGATGGTAGGTTTCTCTATTGTGTTTTTCTGCTATTCAATTTAAGGAGCTTACACCCTCTTGATGTCAGATTGTTTTACTACGAATCCTGTCTTTACCTTTTTGATGCATAAACCTGAATGTGAAGGGCTTTGAGAGATGTTTTATATAAATATGAAAATTCATAAAGTTTATTCTGAAACACTTCTTATATCAAATGACTTCACAATAAAATTGCTTAGGTATGTAAAAATTATTTTCCTGCATAGCAGTAAGCCCTTATATTCTTAAGCTGCCTCAGTCTTTAAAAATAATAATAATAATAACAATAATAATAATAACAATAATAATTTTAAAACCCTAGTACAATTTCTGGTGTTTGTGTCAACTTAATTTATCTCATGTCTGTAAAAACAAGCCTGCCTCTAGCCATTTCTATTTTTTTTTAAATATTACATAGTATTTATTTTTATTAATTTTTTTTGGAGTATGGTTGCTTTACAATGTTGTGTTAGCTTCCACTGCACAGCAAAATGAGTACACATACGGATATCCCCTCCCTTTTGGACTTCTCTCCCATTACTACAGTGTATTAGGTAGAGTTCCCTGTGCTATAAAGTATGTTCCCATCAGTAGTCTTTTTTGCGGGCCTCTCACTGTTGTGGCCTCTCCCGTTGCGGAGCACAGGCTCCGGATGCGCAGGCTCAGTGGCCATGGCTCACTGTCCTAGCCGCTCCGTGGCATGTGGGATCTTCCCGGACCTGGGCACGAACCCGTGTCCCCTGCATCGCCAGGCGGACTCTCAACCACTGTGCCACCAGGGAAGCTCAGCTGTCTATTTTATACATAGTGTCAATAAATTATACGTGTCAATCCCAATCTCCCAATTCCTCCCTCCCCACTCCTTTCCCCCTTGGTATCCATACATTTGTTCTCTACGTCTATGTCTCTATTTTTGCTTTGCAAATAAGATCATCTATACCAGTGGTCCCCAAACCGGTCCCCAGGGACCGGTTTCATGGAAGACGATTTTTCCACGGCTTGCCCACCTCTCACCTCCTGCTGTGTGGCCCGATTCCTAACAGGCTGAGGACTGGTACCCGTCCGTGGCCCGGGCGTTGGGGACCCCTGATCTATACTATTTTTCTAGATTCCCCATATATGCGTTATTGTACAATATTTGCTTTTCTCTTTCTGACTTACTTCACTCTGAATGACACTCTCTAGGTCCATCCACGTCTCTACAAATGATCCAATTCCGTTCCTTTTTATGGCTGAGTAATATTCCATTGTATATATGTACCACATCTTCTATAGCCATTCCTCTGTTGATGGATATTTAGGTTGCTTCCATGTCCTGGCTGTTGTAAATAGTGCTGCTATGAACATTGGGGTGCATGTGTTTTTTTGAATTATGGTTTTCTCTGGGTATATGCCCAGTAGTGAGGTTACTGGGTCATATGGTAATTCTACTTTTAGTTTTTTAAGGAACCTCCATACTGTTCTCCATAGTGGCTGTATCAATTTACATTCCCACCAACAGTGTAGGAGGGTTCCCTTTTCTCCACACCCTCTCCAGCATTTGTTTGTAGATTTTTTGATGATGGCCATTCTGACCGGTGTGAGGTGATACCTCATTGTAGCTTTGATTTGCATTTCTCTAATAATTAGTGATGTTGAGCAGCTTTTCATGTGCCTTTTGGCCATCTGTATGTCTTCTTTGGAGAATTGTCTATTTAGGTCTTCTGCCCATTTTTTTTTTTTAACATCTTTATTAGGGTATAATCTGCCCATTTTTTGATTGGGTTGTTTGTTTTT